GTCAGACTGGCACCCACTGGGTCTGCTGAGCAGCCCCTCAGCAGGCAGGACAGCTGCAGCCCCCCAGGCCTGTCCCCAACCCCCATTAGCACTGTCTGAAAGGCATCACTGCCCCAAGGACAGCAGATCCCTTGGGCAGGGACACCCACGGGCCATGGGGCACAAGACACCTCTCTGGGATGCAGCAGGGTGAGGGACCCCAAGAGCCCCGACTGCCATGTCACAAGGTGCCACGAGCATGGCCACACATGGCCTTGGGTCTCACCCAGCTCCTCTAGGCGCTTCTTCTGCTCCTCTCTCCACTTGCGGATGCTCTCAGGTTCCTGGGTCAGCCGGTCAGCCTTGGCTATGGCTACGTAGGCGGCCGTGGGGCCGTTGGACTCCTGTGGGACATAAGCAGCTCACCATCAGCACCAGCTCGTCCCACAGCCCAGCCCAGCCATCTCAAAGGGCTGGTAGTGGGGCAGGACTCCACACTCCCAGCACTCAGACAAGCCAAAACAGGAGGTAGGAAGGGTGACAGCCCAGGACACCTGGGACAGTGTCCCCAAAGCGCTGCTCAAGCTGCTGTCCCAGCTCCCAGTCCCAGGCCCTGCCACCCAGAAAGAATTCCCAGCATTCCCCTCCTTGACTTGATGCTTGCTGCCAACACAGCTCTTGCATCCTCTGGGCAGTCCCACAGCAGAGGACAGCCACCAGCTTTGTGACATGCTCCGCATCAGTACTGGGCTTCCCCAGCCCTGACTTGGGCCGAGGCAGCCCCAGGACTGAGCGTCATTACAGGCTTGGCCACAACAGAAGGGGAGAGCCCAGGCAAGAGGCAGGGCCCAAGGGAGGTACAGCTCTCTGCCTGCACAGCAGCCCACAGGCAACAGCCTCCCTCCGAGCTGAGCTGCCTGTATGGCTCCCGGCAGGCCCATCACCATGGCTCAGCACCTCTCCTAACACCTTCTGCTGGCCAGGACACCCAGCCTGACACCGAGCTCAGCAATGGGATTACGGCTCTCCTCCAAGATCCCCAATCTAATCAAGCCTGTCCCATCTCTAATGTGATTATCATCCCATAAACTAGGCACGGGCAATGCGTGTGCCACACTGCTGGGCACCGAGTGGGGTGAAGGGCTTGTCAGATGCTGGCACAACTTCTCCTGTAGCCAGCAGAACTGGGCTTCGGGCTTCCAGAGGCAGATGAGACCCAGGCGGGTGGTCCCCATGAAACACCGTTGGGCATGGGGCAAGTGAGTTTAATGGGAGATGCTGCCAGGACTTGGCAGCAAGGCCACAGCAAAGCGAGTGTCCCATGGCAGCCCTGTCCTGACTCTGGACTCTGCCAAGAGATGCTCCTGACTGCCCCAGAGGCCTCAAGGAGCTACCCGGGCTGGAGAGACGGGGTTTCTGTGCGGAGTGGAGGATTTGTCATCTGCTCTTAGGGCCCAGGCACTCCTTCAGGGCACAGGCCACCTGCAAACAGATTTGGGGCAGGTCACGGCAGGCAGGACCAATCTTCTCTTCAAAGAGGGGTGAGAATGGAGCACCAAGGACTCCCCCATGACACCCAAACTTTCCCAGGAGCACCATAGCTGTTCTGGGGCTGGATAGCAAAGTCCAGTCAATCCCGGGGGCAGAGCAGCGGAGTGCTGGCCCAGTACCCACCCAATCCCCCTCAGCACCACTGGGCCAGGGCAAGCGGCTGAGTTCTCACCTGAAAGACATCTCCATTGACAGTGGCTCCTCCATTCTGGAAACCAGCTAGAGAAAAAAAAAGAGAGAAAGCCAAACACAACTATGGCAGCTGCAGATGATCCCAGAGGGGCTGGTGTTCATGAAACTGAAGCAAATCGGTTCCTGGGAGTTTGGCTGTGCCATTTCCAGCCCAGCACACTCATCCACAACAGCCCCACATATGTGGGCCAGGCCCCATGGTCTCCTGTCCTTGGTGGGATTCAGCCAGAACTTCTCTCTCTCCCAGACAAACCTCTCTGGGCGTTTATGTCTTTATGGTGTTTTCACTGGTGTTTTATCTTATCTGAAGATTAAGAAAACTGTTCCAGGCATGGGGCTGGACACAGGCAGGTGCTCTGACTGTAGAAAGACATCCTGACCAACCCCAACCTGCAAGCAGCCAGGCAAAGGCTGCCAATGGACACAAACAGCTGATCCAGAAGCTGTCGGCTGAGTGCCCAGCAGTGCAGGGCTGTGATGGGAAGGTAACCCTGCCAGGGACAGAGCCCACAGAAACACTGCAGTGTGCTCCACCAGGAGAGGAGGGCAGGTGTGCATGCCAAGGTCCTTGAGAGCCCACCTGGAGGCATGCCCCTGGGACGAGCTGCAAGGTTAGAGCAGGGAATGAGGCACCACTGACACCCACAGCTGGGCACCTCTCCCCCCAGGCCCAGAGAACACCAAGCTGCACACCAGGGCCACGAGGCCAGCCCCAGGCCCGGGCTCTCCGCTGCTAGGCAGAGAAGAGGCTTTGAAGGAGGCAGACTCCCTGCTCTGAGCTGCCACAGCTCTGATGACCCCAAGGCTTCTACCAGCCAGCAGTCACAGACAGCTGCACAGCCACAGCGCAGCTCAGACAAGCACTGTCCCCAGAGTGCTCGCCCCCACAGTGCAGCTCTGACTACACCCAGCTCCAGCCTGTCTGACTGCATTGATCACCATGGCTGTCAACACCTCGTCGGGCCCAGGTCTGCCTCCGCACCCCTGTGTGTGGAGAGGTGAAACCACTGCTCCACAGCCAGCACAATGAGGCCCTGCAGGCCTGGGTTAGGGGAAGGAGTCAGAGTACTGTGGCAGCAGCGTCCCTATGTCCAAGCGGAGAGTAGACCCTGAGCCCCTGCTACCTACCAAAGCCCCCGCAGACTGGAGGCAAGAGATCAGGATTAGCACCTTCTACCTGCAGGGCCTGGGACCACGATGTCCCCAATGGAAATGCCTTCCATTTTGCACCCCAAAGGGCTCTTCTGTCTGTGGGGACAGTGACAGGGCTGTCACTGCTCCTCAGCTCTGCCTGGATGCCTCTCACATTGCCCTAGCTGGGGGCACTAAAGACATGGAGACGGGGGTCCATCCAACCCAAGGAATCCAGCCTGAGCACACGGGGGAGGAATTACCCCACAGGTGGCAAGTCCCAGCTCAGGATTCACCTCACATCCTGAGACTTGAGATGGCCAACATCCAGCCCTTTGGGACCAAGCACAGGCCCTAGATAGTCCTTGCTGGGACATAGGCCTGGTTCACTGGGGAACCCCATCGCCTGCCAATTGGGGGTGTAGCATGGACCCCATCACTCACTGGGGGTGCAGTGCATCCCACGAGGAACCCCAGTCCCACGGGGGATGCAGCCTGGAAGGAACCCCTCCCCGCCCTCGGGGCAAGAGGGGGCACAGTCCTCCTTTACACCCACGGGGTGGCAGTCCCCTCC